TTATTGGAGGAGTTCGCCGACGTGTTCCCCGAAGAGCTTCCAGGACTGCCGCCCCGCCGCGATATCGACCATGCCATCGACCTCAAGCCCGGAGCCACGCCCCCCTCCAAGGCACCCTACCGCCTGTCAACGGACGAACTGAAGGAACTACGCACCCAACTCGACGAACTCCTCGCCAAAGGCCTCATTGAGGCCAGCACAAGTCCTTACGGCGCCCCCATCCTCTTCGTCAAGAAGAAGGATGGGACCCGAAGGATGTGCATCGACTACCGGCAGCTGAATGCCCAGACAGTCAAGGACTCGTACCCTCTTCCCCTCATTGATGACATCATCGACAGCCTCTGCGACGCCCGGATCTTCTCAACTCTCGACCTGCGCTCCGGTTATCATCAGGTGCGCATTCGCGCCGGGGACGAGGACAAGACGACCTTTCGCACTCGCTACGGCACCTTCCGATTCCTTGTGCTGCCCTTTGGCTTGACCAACGCACCCCCGACCTTCCAACGCCTCGTCAACAACGTCTTCAAGCAGGAAATGGACAAGTTCATGGCACCCTACATCGACGACCTCGTCATCTACTCCAAGAATGAGAAAGACCATGAGCAGCATCTTCGTCAGGTATTGCAGAAGCTCCGCGACCATCGACTGTACTGCAAGGCGAGCAAGTGTCACCTGTTCCAGACGGAGGTGGAGTTCCTAGGCTTCATCGTGGGACAGGGCCACCTCAAGATGCACCCTGCCAAGGCGGACGCCGTCGAGAACTGGTCGACGCCGCAGAGCACGACCCAGCTGCGGTCCTTCCTAGGCCTAGCCAACTTCAACCGCCGCTTCATCGCCAACTACGCCAAGATCTGCGCCCCGCTCAACGACGCCCTCAAGAAGAACGGGTTCAAGTGGGGCCCGTCGCAGGAGGAGGCCTTCCGGGAGCTGAAGCGTCGTATGACACAAGCACCTGCACTCCGCATCCCTGACCAGCGCCAGCCATTTGAGGTGGCAACCGACGCATCAGACCGAGCGATAGGCGCCGTCCTACTCCAAGATGGGCAGCCAGTCGCGTACGAGTCCCGGAAACTCCAGGCCGCGGAGCTCAACTACCCAGTGCGGGACAAGGAGGCCCTCGCCTTGATCTACGCGCTGACCAAGTGGCGCGTGTACCTCCTCGACAAACGGACCACGATCCTCACCGACCACCGCTCACTGACGAACATCACCACCCAGAAGACATTGAACGGCAGATGGGCGCGATGGATAGAGCTCCTGAACGACTACGACCTCGACATCCGTTACATCAAGGGCAAGACCAACGTAGCTGCCGACGCCGTTAGCAGGATCCCTGACTCAGACGCACAGGAGATCACATGCGCCGCCATCTCTACCGCGACGCCGGCGGACCTGGTCAAACGCATCAGCAACGACATCGCGGAGGACGAGGAATTCGGCCCGATCTACAAGGCGCTGAAGAACCCCGACCAGACACCACCGCCTGCCGTGGCGGCGAAGCTCAGCCGTTTCGGACTCAATGACGAAGACCTGCTGATCTACCAGGAGCACCCGGAGCACCCGGAGGACATACCTCTGCGCTGGTGCATACCAGAGACGGCACGCGTGCCGCTTCTGGCTGAGTTCCACGACACTCCGACAGCGGGCCACCAAGGAATTCACCGTACCCACGAGGCGCTAGCGCGCCACTTCTACTGGCCCCGGATGCGGCAGGACGTGGAGCGCTATGTGCGGAGCTGCAAATCCTGCCAGCGCCACAAGCCGAGACAGGGCGCTGCCCCTGGTCCCCTGCAGCCCCCAACCCGTTCCCCGAAAACCCCTGGACCGATATCAGCCCTCGACCTCGTCACCCGGACTTACCCAGGAACCAGGACAGGGACAGGACCGCCCTTCGGGGGTCTTTCGTCAACGGGTTGACTAAACGGGGGCCACCTGGGGGGCGAACTAACTAGCAAGTGCACGGGCCGAGACGGGGGCCAAGGTTGTTCATTTTCCCACGGGGTTCCAACCCCCATGGACTTCCTTGCCAAAGTTTGGGCCTGATCGAGAACCCCGGTTTTCACCGGCCCCCTTCTGGAAAGGAAACCTTTCCGCTTTGCTGGGTCCCCGACTTTCATTTCTTCCACTTGGAACACCCCGAAGACCGGACGGCCAAACAAAAAGGACGAACCGGCACCATGGGAGCAAGACCCTTCCCCCACTTACGTCAACTACCGCATGGACAACTGGGACTCACTCCTCCCCGTGGTAGAGTTCGCCCTTAACAACTGGCAAGCAAGAGCGACTCCACGGGCCAGTCTCCGTTCTTCCTAGAGACGGGCCGACACCCGATTATCCCAGCTACACTCGTCACCCGCCAGGCCATACGCCGCACGGACACACCTGCAGCCGAAAAAGGACTTCGTGGTGCGCCTCAAGAGCATCATCACCGCCGCAAGAGACGCCCTCGCCCAGGCACAGGACAAGCAGAAGAGGTACGCCGACCAGCGCCGCAGCGACGACATCAAATATAGTCCCGGCGATCAGGCATGGGTCACCGCTGACCTCTTCGTCGACCAGGCCAACCAGCGACGACCCAAGGACAAGCTGAAGCCCCGCTGGCAAGGCCCCTTCACTGTCATCGACATGCCGTCGCGCACGACCGTGCGACTCCGGTTCCCCAGCCACGTGCGGGCGCACCCGGTCGTCAACGTCACCAAGACCAAGCCGTGTGTCAACAGCCCGTCAGACTTCAACACGCGCCCCAATGACGAACCACCACCCCTGCCGGACGGCGAATCGGACGAATACGAGGTGGAACGCATCCTCGACGAGCGAGTCCGACGCGGCAAGAGGCAGTACCTGATCAAGTGGGCCGGCTACGACATCAACGACAGCACTTGGATCAACGAGGACCAGCTCACACGCGACGTGCGTTCACTGATCATGGAGTGGCATCAGGCCTCGCGCAACGCATCGGCTTGAGGGCAAGCCGTCTTAGAGAGGGGGAAGGTGTAACGTCGCTCGCCTGCCTCCCCCTGCCGCTCTCTCTCTCTCTCTCTCTCTCTCTCTCTCTCTCTCTCTCTCTCTCTCTCTCTCTCTCTCTCTCTCTCTCTCTCTCTCTCGGTCTCCCCGTTCCCTGCACCTTGCCCCGCTGTGTCCCATTGTTTTCCCTTCCTTGCCCTTCGCGGCACCGTACTGCCTTGCATGTTCTTTGTTCTCCTAATGTTTGATGTCATGTTTAGCCTGATTGACGTCATGTTTAACTCGTGAGTGTCGTATAGTAGCGTTTGCCTGTGTCGTGTCACGCCGTGCCCAGTGCCTCGGAACTGCTTGCCTCTCGGCGGCGATCCCGAGCCCTTGGCACGGTACCGTCATCAACTAAGATGACGGCACGACACATGCCTGCATGCTGTGTTACGTCTGTTGCCCTTGTCTCTTGTTTTCCCCCTTGCTTAACCACAAGCACCCCTCTTGTTGCCTGCTAGCACGTGTGTGTTGCCCTGCACCCTGTTGTCGCTTATCTCACGTGATTGTCTGTGCCTTGTTCAGTTCTTTTGTTCCCTGGTTTACTTCGCATCAGTACACAGAACAAGCCACCGACACACCTCGACCACAGTCCCGTCACATGTAACGTAGCATTGAGCAACCACACAAGCTAAACACTGCACGTGCAACAGGTTGGATGGAAATCACGTGAACATTCCAGAACACAAGAGAGGTGAATGCAAAGTTGTGGTGTCGTGAAGAAGGGAGGTCAATGATATGACTCAGCAGACAGGACTTGTCTGTCAACAACTACCACTGCAAACGTCGCACTCACCTCATCGGCGTCGTCGATACCAAAGTCTTGGGGGCTTTGCATCCAAACCCTTGATCAGCTCTACGAGCCGGAGGAACATGCGTGCTCCGGCTACATGCTCGTGTGTGGGTGACAAACCAGGAAGCAGCGGGTGACAGTGACACTGTGACAAGGTGAGGGCAGGTGGTGCTGTCCTCCCTCATGAATCGGAGGACTGCAAAGAAACTGCGAACCGCAAACATTTGATTTTGTTAAAGAGTAGCACCTTGCCGTTAGAAACACTGTGAGAGCTGCTGCCAGTTGCATTAATGGGTGTGGGCGATAGCTTTTAAATCAAAACATACGAATCCGATCTGTTTGGTATTTATAGGCCAATGTCCTTTATTTAACACACACACACAAACACACACACACACACACACACACACACACACACACACACACACACACACACACACACACACACACACACACACAAACGTTGCTAAAGCATGAGCTCTTGTTCGCCATACTCATCTGGAGATGAGTCGCTGAAACGGCCTGTGTATGCGGCCGTTTGCGCATGAACTGCGTCCCGAATTGCTTCCACTTGCGCACCAGTTTCCCCAAGGCAGATGTGTGTCTGGGCTGGCCGTGTTTCGCTGGTAACAGAGCCGCCTTCCTCACTGCTGTTGCTTCGTTCGACATTCAAGCTGAACATGGTGAGCCCAAGGCGCGGCTCAACCAGCGTGGTGTGCTTCAGCGGAAGAATGGCGGCCAGCATCAACGAAGAAGTACTGCCAGTCGCGCCCTGGGCACCTTCCCCGTCGTGGGCCACAAGCACCATGCAGTTGGTCAGCAGGTGCAGTGTTGCTGGGGCCTTGACCGTTCTGCCATCCTCAGTGGCCGCTGTGGTCACAACTCTGATGGTCCATTTCATGAGGGGTGCTGCCACTCGCAGCATCTGCATGTGCGACGCCGCCGCTGCTTGGTCTCTCTGGCAGATGTCCAGCAACTGTGTGACGTGTTGCAGCTTTTGTGTCGTGACACGAAAGGTTAGATCAGCGTGTGCGGAGGTGGCAGCCTCAGTCGTCTCGCTCGTGGCACGCGCGGCCGTGTGAAAGAAATGTTGAAACGCAGCAATGGTCGAAGCCACGAAATTGCGTTGGGTGTCTGAAGTGCACTCCTCTTTGAGAGATACTAATTGAGCCATCCACTGGACAACGTGGTCTCTCGCAAAGCAGAGTGCTTCGGTGGTGGGGCATGTAGTGGCAAGGGCGGTCCTTGCGTTTTCGCCGTCATCCAAGGTGTTGGACTCGTTGTTCGCGGCGGTATTGGTGGGGCCCACCTTTGTCTGCCGTACTTGGTCGCTGAGCAGGGCAGCAAGCTCCGGTGTGTTCTGGCAGAGGGAGCCAAGGGAATCAGCCTCCGCAAACACACATGCAGCTGCGCTGTGATGCAGCAGGGTCGCAGCCACGTCCACGATTGTGGGGAGTTGGTTGTCACTGGTGACCAGACGCTCGAGGCTCTGGTGGATGGATGAGGAAGCCCGTACACAAGCGCGCATGCTGTCCATCCAAAGAGTCAGCAGGTGTGGCGAAGAGACACGGCCCTCGGCATCCACTGCGGATGAGGCGGTGTCACCAGCCGGCAGCTGGCTCAACAGCTGCCCCATCATGTCAACTGCGGCAGTTGCCCTGTGCGCCCACTGCTGTTCCTGCTGAGTCCACTTGCGCGCTGCCGTGAGGGCCGGTGTCGCCGCCTCGCTGCGATCAACCAGAGCCGCACCACCAACGTCGCCTGAAGCTGCAACGAATGGCCATGAGCCATGGGCGTGAGTGCAAGCGTTCTCGCGCAATTTCGAGATGCGCGCACACGACGCGATGCCAAACAATCAAATATGCACACGAAGCAGGGAGGGCGAACGGGACAACGACCCACCTGAGTCTGGCGAATGCGTTGGCTCTGCTCGTGTTCGAGAAGTTGACGGCTTGTCCGATGCTTTTCTGGAGCGGCGGGCGGGCTTCACGGGGGCACGTGGCTGTGTGTGTGTGTGTGTGTGTGTGTGTGTGTGTGTGTGTGTGTGTGTGTGTGTGTGTGTGTGTGTGTGTGTGTGTG